AGTGATAAAAAAATGACTCTCAAGAACTAAAAAACTTAAAAACTAGTTATGCTTCTTCAGTGAGAAAGTAAAATGATGCTTTACAGTTTCTTTTCCTGCTAGTTATTTAATTAATAAAGTGTGTTTTTTGTGACTGAAATATACAATTTAATTTATTTTAAAGATATTAATTTCAAGTGTTTTTTTTTTCAATCATACTTCAAATATAAAATAATGCTACCTTTTTTTAATATGCATTCAAAATATTTAGCATATGTGGCAAACACTAGTGGTCCAATACACCCTGTATTATTCAGTATAAATCCATACATGTTTTCATCTGATCAAGTTCAGGGAGTGGGAACTTACCTGGTTATCCTGGTATTTAAACAAAGGAAGATTGCACACTGCCCGAAGTGTATCGTTATCGCCTTGGTCATAGGCATCCAACAGCTGCTCAACGGCCGAGGCTTCCTCACTTTCTACAAAACCAGGGTAACTAAAACAGAAAAAAATGCCTTCAGTGGCAATGTCTACAGAAAGTAGAGTTCGTGAAAAGCACTGAACTTTTAGGACACTCCCTTATGAGAACATGAGAATGTTCAAAAATGAGTTTTGTAACCCTAGCTAATGCGCGGTAACTCCATTGGGACTCTTGTTGAATGCAATCAGCTAATGCGCGGTAACTCCATGGGGACTCTCGCTGAATGCAATCAGATTAACAAACTAACTCTTGTTTCCAAGGTACTCCCATAATCACCAGCTTTTCTATATCCTGCTCAATGCCAGGAGGAGGTGTCTTAGGCTTCGTTCACATGGAATGTCTATTTTCTAAAAATCTATTTTCTATTCGCGCTATCTTATGATCACGGTCTGTGCCCTGAATATCCCGCCGCGTAATTACTGGCAGCGCGAGCCAGTTACTTATAGTAACTTATAGTAACTTATAGTAACTGGCTTGCGCTGCCAGTAATTACACCGCGGGATATTCAGGGCACAGACCGTGATCACAACACATGCTGCGAATAGAAAATAGAATTTAGAAAATAGACATTGCATGTGAACGAAGCCTTAGTCTGTAAACCTGATTGCATTAAGAAAGAGTCCCTGTGGAGTTAATGCACTTAAGCTAGATCAACAAAATTCATAGTGAACAGTTCCTATGCCTTAAAAGATTTAGGCCACTTCAATGTGAGAGCAATTTGTGTTAAGGAATTTATAATTTCTTTTTCCCCAAGACATCACATAAAAGTTATAAAAAAACTGCCGTACATACTTCACAATTTACAGATAAGTTTACGAGGCCAAATTTGACTTACTTGAAAGCACCTTTATATGATTTATCAGCAGCCACATAATCTTCCTTGTGTAGATGTACCAGGACTAAATTCAGTACAGCTTTGTATATGGTGGGATAGTTTTCTACCTCTGAATTAAGATCTATTTCTCTCTGCAACACTTTGGAGGCCTCTTCAAACCTTTAAAACATCAAGTTCACCTGCTGAAGTCATGTTTTATATATTTTGCCTTGCTTGAAGGACTGGTCAAAAAATGATCATAATAAAATAACAAAAAAAAAATCCCAGAAGTTTCCCATATTTAGATTAAGTCAATATCAGATTTATTCATTTCATTTAAGCTTCTTATCAATAATTGGAGAGGATGGACTAACAGCTTTATTTGAAAATGTCATTTTTTTATGGCAACTTCTCTTGTTAGTTCAGCCACACAAATCATAATTGAAAATATTTCCATGATCATATTCATTTTACATCAATTTTTAGACTTTTAAATAATTTTTATCTAAATATTTCCCAAATTTTATTTTAATACTTGTCCATGAGAATAAAGAACAGAGGAAAGAAAAATATGAAACAAACAGATCAATAGAAAGCAATCCTACTAACCTTTCACACCTCACTAATAAACCGGCTGCTTTTTTAATGACTTCTGCTGCCTGTTTAGGCCTGTCTTCATTCTAAACCAGAGAAAACACACATCATAAGAAAACACACCCATTCTTCAAGGGAGGCACATGCTTACTTTTAGCATTTATCTAACTTAAAGTCTAGCTTTACTTGCCCCCCCCCCGCCCATCCAAAAATAAAAAAAAATCATCATCCTATTTCAATCCATCTAATTTATGCGCTAAACACTATAGTCAGACACTCAAAAAGAAAATGAAGAAAACAATCTTTATTTTTGTGTTAATCATTTTTCTCTTTGGAATAAATGGGCTGTGGTTTTGCTTTCTCTTGTTAAAAATCAAAACCACTTAAGAAAGGAAAAAAAACAGTTGGGGCAGAATATCTCATGTACTATAAAAGAGTGGAAGAAAATGACCTTGTGAGAGTAAATTTTATCCTACCTCCACTACATCACATGCCTTCATATATAACATTATAGCTCTGTCAGGCTTTGAGGCTTCAATCATCCTTGAAATAAAAAAGAGCACACAAGTAATAAATAAATAAATTATTTTCAAGGTATCAGTGACTAAAAACTACGATCAGACCAAAAAATAGGAATAAACCAAAATTAAAATTAAAGCAGCATTTACAAGGTTTTTAAATAAAAAGTTGAATCAATCTTGCCTTTAAACAGAATACAAGAAAGACATATGTCTCTCATACAAAGATGATATGTGTACACTTACTTTGCTGCCTTCTCTAATGTTAAAGAAGCCGTATCTGGAACACCATTTTCCCTGAATATATCTCCAGCTCTTTCCATTAAGTTTGCAGCTTCCTCGAGTCGGTTCATATCCTTGGAAATCAACCCTGCTTGTTCATAGGCTCTGAAACATATACAGTACATTTGTTATTAAAGGGATAAAAACTGTTCGTATTGACATATGAGATCCATATTTCACAATAAATATATTGTAAACAACTCATAAAAATATAATAAATACTATTTTACCAACAAAAAGACATTTATCATAATTATTTTTAAATTTGTGATTGGCATTGGACCACTTGACCTCTATAGATGGCTCCCCTCTGTAATAATCTATTAAGAGATTATTACAAAGAACAAAACTTAAAAAAAAAAAAAAAAAAAAAAAACAGGGACTAACTTTGATTGTTGGAACGGATTCATTAACCATTGGTAAGTATGTGAAAATTGCTATTTACTCCAGCAAAACCCATTTTTTGGCAAAAAAAAAAGAACAGTTGTTATCCCTTTAATCACTAAGCATCTTAACTGGAAACTTTTGCAAACAAGGATATGCCTATAATAAGTCAGATTGGTAAATGTAAATTATTGTTATTTCTGAAAAACTACATTCACCAGTGCTCATTTTCATAACAATAATTTCCCATTCATGTTTTTCTCTCTCCATCAAAAGACAAATATAAAGATATGATTTTTACTTACTTGGCAGCATGGAATAATCTGAAAAACTTCAGTTAAGAAATTAAACACATTCATCACAATGCTTGTTTTCCATTCAATACTTAAGGCAAACATTTTTTACAGTCATAAAGCACAGGTTCCTGCCAAATACTTATAACTGCAACGCATGCAATTATTTTTACCATCATTTTCTATTTGTTTGATATACATTGCATATACTTTTCATATAAGTGTAACTTGTTCAAGTACTGTTACGTGTGAATACTGTATTTTCAGGGGCAGATCCATAGAAATTTTCTGACAGCCTTCCAAATTATCTTTGTTGATCCATCCTCCATTTTTGACCATCTTCCGACAAAGAAATTAGTTGCCCATCAATTTTAACTTGAAAATCTGACCTTCTTCCGGAAGACCCAGAAGACAGCCTAAATCCACCCCTGATTATTTTATACAAGACAATCAAGGATACGCTTTCATTTCAAGTTGAACTTCTGCAGCCTTAACATATATATCCCTAGCTTTTTCCAGTTCCTTGGCATTCCTGTAGCAAACACCTAAAGTCAGAAAGGCAAGCTTTATTAACATTCTAAATTTATATGGATATTTTAGACTGGAGAATTCTTTTGCTGTCTGACATATCTTTTTGTATTAATACATCAATGGATACACTGTTATTAAATGTAAATCTCACTCTCATTAAAAATAACAGTCCAATATGTTTTCTACTGCATATGAACAATATTAATTAAAATGGGTTGAGTAAATTCAGCATTGGGTCTCAACATGTTAAATCTGGTGAACTCTAAGCCATAGAAAATAAACAGTTTCACACTGCTGCACCCACCCGCCTTAAGGTATTCATTTGCAGCGCTGTCATAATCTGGCTTCCACTTAAAGAAAGAAGTCTTCAAACTGAAAAAATAACATCGGCATCAATATAATATTTACATGTACCCAATAGCCATGGATCATGTACTGCATGTATACTACTCGTAGTTCTATAGGGTACAATAAAATTAATTCCAAATCATTTAAACCACCCCAATACTAATACTAGTACTGTATTTTGAATGAAAAAAAAAAAAAAACACGGGAGAGATACTGTTAAATAATTAACAGAAAAGGTAGAGAGAATCTTCATAAGCTGGTGCTGTGTTAGAGTGATGGTCATCAGTCTGAAATACGTGTACCAATACACCTAACAACGTCACATTTGCTTGCATACATGATGTTGGAGCATGCAATGTTTTGACGGGTCGATACGTAGAAATTAGAATCACGTTCATCACTGATATGAGTCCAAAGGACTGACTGGCAATGAAGCGGTGTATATCCCTTGTTTGATTCCAAGTAACGGTTTAAGTTCAAGCTGGCTCGACGTTTTATGAATGAAAATGCCAAAATATATCGACCCCTTCAGCATTTTAAAATACTGGGACCCATAAAAAAATTGCGTTCAAGCAGTAAATAGGAGAGTATCACTTTAGCTTCATATAAGGAATAGATTCAGTATTATATTTCCCATAAAAATACAATCAAACAACATCAACTCACTATTTTTCAGCTGCTTTTATGTGATCAAGAGCTTCGGCGATTTTCTTCTCCTTATGAGCCATTCTGACCTTGACCTTGATGACACTTCCGCTTCCGGTGGGAAGGAATGGCGTCATCGTATCCAAGGAGGTAATTTAAAATTGTGAAAGTTTTGTCGCCGCTGCATCAAAACGCTTTGTTGATTTTGGTACATATTTGAGTAGTTTGGTGTCAAATATATCAAAGGATTGGATTAACGAGGCCAAGCAATCAATGATGTCTTAATGTCAATGGAAAACGGGAATGAAGACTTCTTGAATAATAAGGTCAAAATGAGTGCAGTTCTGCAAAGCTAGCATTTACCTATGCTTTAAAAAGTCGAAATGGCCACAGCTGTATCGACAACAGCTCTTCTAGATAGTTTCAGCTTTCAGAGTTCAGATGATGAGAGTGAAAGAAAAAAGAGCATTCCACAATCACGAAAACGCAAAAAGAAACGGAAAAGACAAAGTACAGGTGGACCAGCAAGTAGAAAACCTTCCAGTAGGGATATCCGTACTTTAAAACCAGCGTGGAATTATTCCGGGATTACAACATCATCAGCTATGTCTTCTACTACTGAAACTACACAGCAGTTATTGGGATTCAATGTGAAACGGGTGGAGCTGAGCTCGAAACCTTCCAACCAAATGACTAGGTGTGCATCCCAACAAGCCACCTGGTCTTCATCGACAAAACTTCCATCAGTTCAACAAACCAGAGCTTCCAGTGTTTTTTCGACAAATCAAACAGGCTCATTTCAGGAGAAAAAGAAAAGGAAAGTGGCTCTCTTGGTTGCCATAAAGCCAGAGAATGTGGAATCGGAAAAGGCACGCTTTTTTCGTGCCAGTTATAACTATCACCCTCTCTTTATATACAAGTACCCTGCTGATCCTGAGGTGCTGGCCCGCACAAGTAATCCTTCTGATAGATACCTCACTCAGGTATGTGACACACACATTATTAGATACATGTACAGAGCTCTTCACGGTTGTCAAAAAAATTCAGTTTTTCTTTCCTGTTTGTGTTGTTCTTACAGTCTCAGTAAATATATAAAACAGTTCAAAATTTAATGAATGGATTACCAAAGCCCCCTTAACACGCAACGGGATATTTTCTGGCTCTGTTTGAGAATGAAACAACTGGCCGATCATTGAGCATTCATTCTGCAACCAAAGTGATGCTTACAGTGTTAAATAATATTGTAAGAAATTTTGCCAAAATAAGAACACCACCACATCTACAAAATGTATGTAATTCTTATGGTTACATTTCAGGCTGTGCATATCATGGAGACGGCAATAGCAAAGTATGGCAGTTATGAGACCTTTGAGGAGAAGACAGGAGGGAAACCCATGTCAAGAACTCAAATTATGGCCATGGTGCTTCAATATCTCAGGTACTTTTAATGTCATTTAATTTATTCAAACAATTGACACCAAATTTGTTATTTATACATTTATTGTGAATTACAATTGACAGTGTTTTAATTGCAATTGACACCAAATTTGTTATACATTGCAAATATTTTGTTGTTATTAAAAAGAGAGAAGATTTAAAAAGTACAGGCACTGTAGCTCATTAAGTTTTCAGATGAAGTTACCTTACTAGTATATGCAAAATGTATATTTGATACATAAATACAAAATAACTTGTAAATTTTGTGGTGGAGCAAGTCACTGAGTAATATCAGACAAAAGGAATTCTGACGTGGACCAGTATTTTTCCAAATCAATTGTCATTTTTGGTTTTCAGGAAAGAAAATCTAGAGGAGGAAATCTCTGTTAATATGTCGGAAGTTTTGATGTCTCGTGCCTCTATGACAAATGTGAAGGGAAAGCCCACTCTGAATGTCAGGGTTTGGAACCTCAGGGAGCACTGGGTGGATGGCTTGCTACGGCATGAAGTTGGTGAGTCTGTTATATATGGCTTAGGTTTAAATATATGAAAATATAATAGGAAAGGAGGTACTAGTAATCAGGGGCGTCTCAATAGTCCGAAGGTTCATTGGTCCGAAGTTTCATTGGTCCGAAAAATGGCACAATCAAGTGTTCATTGGTCCGAAGGTTCTATAGCGAACATAGGACCACTGAACCTTCGGACTATTGAACCTTCTTCGGACTATTGCCACGACCCCCTAGTAATCTGTATCATTTTCTGCATTTTTTAGAGTATACACTGTATTTTAAGAAAATTAATCAATGCAAATCTGTACAATGCTTCAAGTCACTTTTCATTTCAGGGACTCACTACATTCGGAGCTACAATAACCAGTTCCAGCCCTGGTACAACTGGAAGAAACGCAAAGAGCTCGACATGGAACCCATCAACCCAACGGAGGAGGGCCTTGCTGCACTACACAGTATACTGGTCAGGAAGGACCCATCTCTGTGGCGGGCCGCCATATTGTATTACACGACGTACTGGGCAGCACACATGTCACTGAGGGACTTGTTCAAAGACCTGGGAAGGTTTGTTCAAGATCCTCACACCAGATGGGACTACTGTATGAGGACCAAGAGAGGCCAGACTGATACCTCACAGCCAGGTATGGAACGTGTATTTCATAAAGTGTGTGTGTGTGTGTGTGTGTGTGTGTGTGTGTGTGCTGAATAAATAAAGGCAAGGACAGATGGTTGAATTTCACACTTTCCTATCAGTTCATACGTGTATATTCAAAATATTGAAACCAGATTATCTCATTAGTAAAAAAAAAAAATATTTATTTTTTAAAAGATGACAAACGGTATAAATGCTAACACAAATGGAATATCATGATAATGTGTCTAAATACAAAACAGTATTCTTACTTTTGCCCAAATTTTCAGGTGGATTTAGCAAGGACCAAGTTTATTTGACAGGTGCTCTAGAACTGTTACGCTACAGACACAGCATCGACTTCCATGCCCTCGCCAGGCTGGGCAAGGTTTCGTATAAAGATGTGGACAAATTGAAAAACATGGGCGACTTTGAAGAGACCCGTATCCCGTACTTTATGCAGGACACTAACTGGTATCTGGGAAGACTGGACCACATTGTGAGAGCCAATGGACTGACCGATGCAGAGTTGAAGAGAGTCGTGCCTGACTTGGATGACATAAATTTGAAATCATGTGGTTCAGCAAGCAGTTTTAATTATTGACTGGTAATTGTCTTTCCTATTAATATTTTGAGTCACAGTGATAATACAAGTACTTGTCACTCAGAGAAATCACAGTATGTGGAAAGATGTGTTTTATAAAGGTAAAAATAGTTGATAAAATGCAAGTTATGGGGAAAAGGGGTTGAGGGAGAGATATTTAGATGGTGCATTGATTGTGAAGTGTTATGTTCAGTTATAGTGCTGATGTGGAGGGGTGGGGGTTTGGAGGGGGGAGGGAAATACTGGTAGTCTATAAGTTTTACTGTTTATTAAGTATAATACATATTTACGCTTAAAAACTGCCAGTTTGCTGTGACTTACCTCATGGTAGGGAAGGTTCTTGTGACTCTCTAGAATCCATATACTCTCAGGTAGCGAATGACTATCATGTCTCATATACAGTATTTGTAGAATATGTCTTCCATGTCTTAACAATTTTTTTTTTTTTAATAAAAGTATGTTATGATGGGCCTATGAACAGTACAATCATCTTGATGTTAGAAAATACACTTTTCAAGGCACAGATCACTGTGGATGTGATATTCTTCAGATCTCATACAAATGGGGAAAGACATTTAAAGAATGAACATTTTGCAAAAAAAAAAAATAAATGCCATTAAAAGCTATGACAATTGTCAGAAATGTTCTTCTAAGATATATAGTTATTTATTAGTGCAAAATATTGTATTTAATACAATCTTTTTATCTCTCAAAAACATATCTGGTTTTTGCAACAAGTCTAAGACTACATGTACATGACTTAGTGACTAGTCTTTCTTTTTTTGCATTATTTCCACATATTTATTTAGTGCTATATACTATAATTGTGTTAAAATCTTGCATATATGTAAAGATTGAAAATTTTACTTCCATAGAACTTTTAAAGTATTTTTGTAGCAGTGGTGACCTTTTTAAAAATTATTTTTGCATGTGTGTGTGTGTTCAAAGACTCTCCCCTTCATGTTTAAGGAAAGGTCGTTATTAGTAATATTCTCATATTTGTAACTCATATTATTGATATTCTAGTCCACAATAAAGTGAAAGGTTAATTCATTCAATATACAGTATCATGATCTGAAATAAGGTAATTATTTTTCCTTTTAATTTCAAAGTGTTGGACGAAGTGTTTTGAAGATTGCCTAAGACAATTTTTCATTCAATATTTAACTTTGTAAAGGTTTCATAAGAATTAAAGATGTAGATATTTTCAGCTATACACTGCCAGGACACTATTTCTCAAATGTTTCTGTTTGACATGCCTGATACATGTACAAACACTGAAACCATTTATAACATTTATTTTCAAAGCATTCTTGATTACTTTTCAAATTACATCACAATCTTATATTTCAACATGAATCATGGTAATTTGGTGACTCAAGCTTCTTAGAAAACATAAAATATGTAAGTTTTCTGATAAATAAATAAAAAATGTAGTTAAAAGGCACAGTGTTTATTAACCTGTTAATTTTTGAAAGATTATATGTGTATTTCTGTTGATTCTGTAACATATGACACACTTTGATAACAGTCAATGGAAAGAAAATATCAGCACTTATAAGCAACTCTGTATTATCTCAATTTACCTCAGGGAGTCTTTACTGAAATATCATAATCCAGCAGCTGGACCATAGAGGCAAAATTCCACCTAGTTAAAAATGTTGCTAAAATGAAACTTTGATGCCCTTATACAGTACTGTTACATGTAGAAAAGGTGCGAAATATCCATTCAAAAAATAGTCCCAATAAATATTTCCAAAACTAAAAAAATTTACTCTCACACTAAATAAAAGAAAAAGGAGAGAGGTCAAACACCCCATACTGACCTAGTTTTACCAGTCTAAATTTTTTTTAAAAAAGAGAATGATTGGGCACAAACTAATATAATATCTAATAAGTATATTTATCATGTGGTGTCTCACCAGAAGCTACTGTGTTATGTAAAAATCTACACAAGTAATCACCTTTAAAAGCATATCACATTCAGGAGACAATGTCTTTAAAACCTACCATTTTGTTATAAATGTACAGCACCATTTTAAACCATATTCATGGAAGTCAAAATATGACTAAGTAAACACAAACCTGACATCATTCTTTCCATCATATACCCCATAACTCACATTCATTGATAACTACACATTTCATTACATTTTCTTTTCTCTATCAAGTCACCCCATGCCATAAAATGTTTAAATTCCAGATTTTTTTTCTTCTGAATCTTGTTCTTTTTGCTCCATGTTAGATACAACTCAACATCTCTATCATGCCTCAGACCTCACTCAACTACCTATAGTAAGTTTCTAAAGTTAGATTTTAAATCACTTTGTGCTATGCACACTACCCTCCAATTTTTTTCAAAAAAGCTACTCTATAATTTTCAAAAGAGACATTAGTTGCATAAGATCTTGTAAAAACATGATAATTCCAATAATCTCTGGGAAGAATATTCTGTAATGCAGAATTATATTGCCGTAAAAATTTGAAAAATATTTTAAAAGACACAAATAAATACATAAAATTCTTTTTAAAATTCCCTGAAATTTATGCTTGTCTACATACTTTTCATGGACAAGCCAGTGATGTGGGTACAGCCATTACACTATGTTCTCTTCAGAAAATATTTGGTTGTGAGTAGTAAATTATACATCAACAGTTTTGCACTTTTTGACCATCTTCTGAAAGGAGAAATTTGATGACCGTCAATGTAAACTTGAAAATCTTTACGTCTTCTGGAAGACCCAAAAGACAGCCTCAATCCACCCCTGAGTACTGGTAAGTTTCAATTATGTATCACTATCATGATGTGAATTCTCATTCCCCTCTCCACAAACTAGCCTCAGATTCACCCCAGTTCTCACTCCTCCACCTTGATCCCCTTCACACCAGCTGTGAGGTCACCATCTGCGTCCATGTCGTGGTCAGTGAAGTACTCGGCCCACACTGGACAGTGGTCAGCCACTATGCCTCCCCAAAACCAGTCATCATGGGGTATCCACTGGTGGGTCAACCCCTCACGGATGACCCCGGACTGACCTGAGAAATTAAAAAAAAAAAATTTATACAGGTCTTGAGCATTTAATCAGGTTCAGTTAATAAAAGAACAAAGGGTGTGCAGATAGGAATATTCACCTCGCTTACCTTGTATATCAAGAGATATGACAAAATCAGAGAACACAAAATTAAAAAACATGACAACTAAGCTACAGAGTGAGCTTAAGTTGTATAGTCAACCAACGCCCCCCTTTTTGTGTGGAAAAGGTCCCCTCTGGGTAAAATTTTATCTAGGTACACAAAGGTTTTATGGTAAAAGGCCCACTTTTCAGAAAAAGAACCCCCCTTCTGAAATTGCTGGCTAGAGGAATATTTACTATTACCACTAATATAACTACTTCTACTACCATGAATTTATTTTGCATACTTCATATATCAAGTAAAAAATCCCAGCCTATATAACCCCATAATGGTTGGTCCCAGACCTTGTTAGTAAAACCTGGTACATAAAGATTGCCTGTGTCATTAAAATGTTCAAATTTCTCTCACCTGTGAACACATCCTGTGCTTGTTTACTCATCCAAATGTTGTCGTAGGTTCTGCTGCCTTTCAAGTTGCGCAGGTTGATGTTAGTGTTGGTGTGCTCATCTACTGTGTTTTTATACCCAGCATCACGGAATGCATCAAAATCTGGTAAAAGAATATGTACATGCACAGCATATATAAAGATATGTTAAATTTATACTGACAACCACAATTTTTTTGTTTAAATTAACTTCATTAATTCATTTTCATTTCTTACCCATGCGATAATCTCTCAGTCTTTTCAATCAGTAAATTAGTGAACAATCAATCTAGTTATTAAAAATTAAAAATTCACTTGTCTTTTATATTTCCACTGCCATGACAATAATCAGTTCCACAGTCCACATGTAACATTACAATCTGTAGATATTTCAAAGGGTTTACTCAAAAATATATATATATATATATTTCCCAGTATTTCAACACAATTCACAATGTTCAAAGGAGAATCCACCACTGTGTTAACAAAGTGCTCCAATTTTGAAGTATGGTACTATCTTTTGGCAATATGCAGATTGTCCATATCAGATAATCAAAATCCCGTGAGTTTTGGCTTGGGCATAATAACAAATTATGTCCAATGTTTTGGCAAGCATTTCAGTTTGAATCTTAGACAAGATAATTTAGAGTCAAAGGAAATCAATGTTTATTCATTTTTACAGAATACATTTGCCCATGAGAACCAAACCTTCATTTATTTTTTACATTATAAATTTTTCTTATCTCTTTTTATAAATTCTAGAATAATCAACCTACCTTCCTGTTCTGGTCCCAAACTAAAGTCACCCAGGATTCCTTTTTTAGATTCTACAATAATCAACATACCCTCTTGCTCTGCTCCAAAATTAAATTCACCCAAGATTCCTTTTATTGACTCTAAGATCGCATTCACAACGAGTTGAGCCAGGCTTTACAAATCCTGGGGACTAAATATGGCAGACGTACATGAAAGAAAAACCGCCTAATCTTTTAATAGTCTCTCCGCCTCTCACACGTCTCTCCCCATGTGTCGTCCCTGCGGGGGTACAGTCATTAAATTTCGGCTCCATTGGGACGACACATGGGGAGGCGTGTGAGAGGCAGAGAGACTATTAAAAGATTAGGCGGTCTTTCTTTCATGTACGTCTGCCATATTTAGTCCCCAGGATTTGTAAAGCCTGGCTCAATTTGTTGTGAATGCGGTCTAAAACACTCAACATACCCTCCTGTTCTGGTCCCAAATTAAAGTCCCCCAGGATCATGATGTCTCTCTCCCCAGGCAGCTGCTCCTGAATAGCCTCCAAGACCAATGGACACCTGCCAATCTCCTCCTGCAAACGGTCAAGGTCCTCCATCTGTAGTCCAGTGGCCTTCAAGTGGACGCTGACCGCAACAAAGTCGAGCTCCTTTGCCTGGAGAATGAAGTATGCTTTTGTAGCTTGTACTGTTATGTTTAAGTCAAAAATAAGATAATATCATTATCGGGTTGACTACAAGTTTGAAAAATAATAAATCGTAAAAGAAAAAAAAATCTTCAAAATATTATCATATTAAAAACTGACATTCTTGTCTCTTTTCAGGCCCTATATTAAATATGAATAAGTACAAATCTTAGCTACTTGATGAAAATTTACTTTCCATTCAAAAATAAGGTGGCATTTTTTTCCATTGTCTGGCACAAACCTTAAAAACCACCATAAAAGGCCTCCTCGCGAATTGCTTGGGTGCCCCTCTGCGGTGTCGCTCTATGAGGGAAGATGACACCACCTCAATGCCTTGGCTGGTGTCATAGATAAATCCATTATATTCTGGAGCCTGGAAAAAGAGAGAAATAGTTTTTAATTCTCTGCTGTTCACTAAGCACGTAACTGTTAGTCACTATAAACTAAGATCTAATATACCAAAGATACGACACTCGGCAATTCTTCAAAGGGTAATCCGATTAACTGTGGAAAGACGTTCGTACGGCGGAAGTAGTCAGTCGCGTTGTGTTCGTGCGGAGGTCGAGCTCTGTTGCATGTGGGCGATTTCAAGGTAGGTAAAATACCGCTTTTAGTCTTGTAGTTTCTCTGAAAATGTATGTGCAGAAGGGAAAACTAACAAGGTTCACTTGTGTGTAAAATTTGCAATATTTTGGAGCAGACGTCATCGTGAAAAATTGCCTTCAATCCGTTGTTGCATTCTAATTAGCAATATGGCGACGAACAAGCGAGTCTGAATGCCTTGTTACCTAAGGTCTAACACGGGTAATTTGATTTTTTATACGTTGAATTTTATATTATTGATGACTGAATAACACGTTGGTTT